TATTAACTTGACTTGTTAAAAATTTTAAAAGTAATGATGTATAGTTGTATACTTGATTTAACAGCTCGTTTAGGGAAAAATGGTTTAATTGTGACTATTGAATTAGGAAGGATGGTGTTAGTACTTGCATTGGGCGATTTACACATACCACATAGGGCGCCGGATTTGCCTGCAAAGTTCAAATCCATGCTTGTTCCAGGAAAGATCCAGCACATCATTTGCCCTGGGAACTTATGTACCAAAGTGAGTGAATATCTTGAGTTGTATTAAGCAATGAAAATGTTCTGGATAAATTCCATTCTTGTAGTTTCTCTGTAATGTTTCATGCTTGCAGTTTCTTCACTTGGCGTTTTGTTCATATCAGTGCATATATGTAAATAACTATTACGCATGATGTTTGTGCCTTCATGAGACTGTCGAAAAAATCATTTGGAGTATTTCCAGATGACAGTGACAAGGATTTGTTCTGCAGGTTCTTGTTGGGGTGTATTAGGTTTTCGAAGGAGCATGGAGAATGACTTTCTGCTTCTGTTAGTTTATTACAGGCTAGAAAAGATTGCGACAGTTAGCTTTACATTAATCACTGATGGTTGCATAGCTCTTCTCAGACAACGAGTGTATATATTAATTCTAGCAGGCAAATAGTAGCAAAAGAATTGTCGAGTTGGTGAATCAGTGAAATGGGAAATTGGAGGGTATAATTGGGAAATAGTTCTATAAACAAAATGGGTTCTATTGGTAGAGGTCTATTTCTATTGGCTCCTTTTCTAATAATATTAAACCTCTATACATTTTGTGCTCCACTTCTCGACTTGTGCATCTTTTTCCTTGAGAAGCAATTTTCTTATTGTGAGCGATAAAACAAAATTGTGTAATTATTTTTTTACATGCTAAAGTTTGCTTTATGTCTGAGTAATGAGTCTTCAAGATACCTGTGACAACCAAACCTCTTTACTGAACCTTATAACTTGTAAACTTCCTTCATTGGTTTATGTTGCTTCATGTTTTTATTCTCTTCCTTCTGGAAAAAGTTGCCCCAAAGTTTGACTTGGAAATGTTATACAAACCCAGGCATGAGCTTCAGAATTAAATTTCGTGTCCTACTTCCCTTAAAAATATTCTTTGTTAGGCCTAAATCCTACATTTTCTGAGTCACTCGGCTACATTCTTACCATCCTCTTTCGTTGAAAATTGATGCTTGATACATCTAGGCTAATAAAATGTTTCTTCATTTTCATTGTCCTTGGATAATAAATGTCATTCATCATTTTGTAAGTTGCTGTTAAATTTCTTAACTCATTAGTATGAACCCTTCCCTCGCCTGACCAAGGGAGGCGTCCAATCTGAAAAGCGAGACTTAACTGTGTGACCATAGTGTGCACTACGGATACACACTAATTCTTAATAGTAAGTAGGTCTGTTTACTTTATGTCCGGCTATGTTAGTTAGACAACTTCCTTTTTCAACTCTGGGCATATTTTGCTATTCTTTTGCAGGAGGTCTATGACTACTTGAGAACTGTTTGTCCGGACTTGCACATCACTCGAGGTGAGTATGACGAGGATACTCGTTATCCTGAGATGAAAACATTAACAATTGGCCAGTTTAAGCTTGGTGTCTGCCATGGTCATCAGGTGCGTTCACTCTCTCTTTAATTGTTATGATGTCTAAACTGTTTAAGAATTCTATCTTATTGGATTTGCAAAGCCTTGCTTTCTTGCTGTATATAGGCTGGTTATATCGTACTTTTGGGAAAATATTAATATATTATGCCTCCCTTATGCAAAGTTTGAGAAACCTGTTGCATAGCAAATAAATTATTAGCTATACAAGAATTTGGAATGCAAATTTTTTTTGTGGTATAGTTAAATATACAAGCGGTTCTCACTACTCATAAACCTAGTTACAAAAACACGAAAATGAATGGAATGCACTTGTTACAACTCAATTTACGGATACCTCCTCAGTACAGCTCCTTCAGACTTCACTTTGTAAATTGAAAGGACTGTCAAGGGAGATATTTGTAATTTTCAAATATACTTTCCGTTTTTTTGTTTTATCTTTTTCTTTTCTTTTTGGTATCAAACTTCATCTATAGGTTTCTGGTTTTGCTATCAAATACCTCAAATTACATAAAACTCCAGCTATCTTTTAATGTGTTACAACTTACAACATACAAAACTTGTGAGAAGTAGAATGTATATAAATATATATAATCCTTAGTGTTATTTACTATATTTGGTGGAAAGGTTATCCCATGGGGAGACTTGGAGTCGTTGGCTATGGTCCAGAGGCAGCTGGATGTGGACATTCTTGTAACAGGCCACACCCACCAGTTCACGGCCTACAAACACGAGGCCGGGGTTGTGATAAACCCGGGGTCCGCCACTGGGGCTTTCAGCAGCATCACGTATGACGTGAACCCCAGCTTTGTCCTCATGGACATCGACGGCCTCCGAGTCGTGGTGTACGTTTACGAGCTCATAGATGGCGAGGTCAAGGTCGATAAGATTGATTTCAAGAAGACCACAACTTCCACAAACTTGACCCACTAACCAACCGATGAATCTCTTGTGATGCACTTTTTATTTTTTATTTTTTTCTTATCTCGACTTCTTTCTTCTTCTTTAGTAAAATTTGACTCTGGTGGTGTGGATATTTGAACTTAATGTGGATTGTGGTGGGAACAGTGTTGCTCTCTATTCATGCTTTGTAAGGACATCGCACTTCTTATTTATTTGCTTTTTTTTTTCTTTGGAAAACTAGTGCGGTACCCGTGCGATGCACGGGCTAATATTATTAAGGAAAGTTAGATTTGTAAGATTAGATGATTGATCAGAACGTAAAATGCATGTATTTG